AATAAATATTTTTAATTATTTAAATAATTTAATTAAAATTTAAAATTATATATATATTTAAAATATAAAATTTTAATATATAAATAAAAATATAAGAAATTATAAGTGGTTAAACTATTTTTAAATTATATAGGGCTAACTAATTTAACAATTTAAATATAAGTAATTAATTAAATTGTAGGTTTAAAAAAGGGGGGGGGGGGATGATTTAAGTCGATGAATCGTAATAACGGGATACTATATAATCTCCGATATGCATATAACGGAACGACATCTCATTCATTCATTGGATCAAAAGCTCAGTGAGCTCATTCCAGCTACAGCCCGCAGCTCCGAAACATACGATACCTAATAAAGTGTGATCAACAATTAAGTATCAAGGAAATATCTCTTCCGGAATCGATGGAGTAAATTTGGAGAATTTCCTACTACTTAGAAATTTGAGAGTTCGAAAGACGCGGGTCCTAGCAAAATGAAAGCTCTCACTCCTTGTCTACGCTCTATATCGAGCCGGCATGGTCTTGCCCAAAATTATGTGCTACAGCAACTACCCGTAGCAGCAGCAGCAGCAGCATCATCATCATGCACTATCTATAGCAACAACAGTAGGAGACCTTTCTCGGTCCTCAACCGCCCACCACCCAACTACCCGGGCCACGTGCCGCTCACGGGCCTCGAGCGCGCCGCCCTAGCCGTCGGCTCCGGCATCGCGTCCTTCGTAAACCCGTACCGGGGAGACATGATCGCGGCTCTAGGCGAGGCCACCGCGTCGCCGTACTTCATCCAGCGGCTGCGGCGGGCCATGCTCGCATCGGCCACGGGGCGCCGGATCCTGCGGGACCGGCCCCGAATCACCTCGGCGTCGCTGAACCTGCCGTACCTGCGCTCGCTGGGGCCGAACACGGTGGGCGGGACGTACGTGGCGTGGCTGGACCGGGAGGGGGTGTCGCCGGACACGCGCAGCGGGGTGCGGTTCATCGACGAGGAGGAGTGCGCGTACGTGATGCAGCGGTACCGCGAGTCGCACGACTTCTACCACGCGCTGACGGGCCTGCCGATCGTGCGCGAGGGCGAGGTGGCGCTCAAGGCGTTCGAGTTCGCCAACACGCTGCTCCCGATGACGGGGCTGTCGCTGCTGGCCGTCGCGACGCTCAAGGCCGCGGAGCGCCGGCGGTTTTTTACCATCTACGCGCCGTGGGCGGTGCGCAACGGCCTGCGCTGCGACGAGGTGATCAACGTGTATTGGGAGGAGGAGATGGAGACGGATGTGGACGAGTTAAGGGCAAGGTTGGGGATCGAGAGACCGCCTGATTTGAGAGAGATACGGAAGAGGGAGCGCGCGGAGAAGAAGAGGTTGAGGGAGGAGGCGGCGGCTGCTGCTGCTGCTGCTGCGCAGGCTGTTGGGAGTTGAGATGGTTGCATTGCAGAGAGATGGGGTGTTTTAAATGTGTCATTAATAGATAATTTGATCTGTTACATTATTGGCTGTACTTGGACCGCATAGAGCGAGAACGAGCACTCTCCTATGTATATTCCCCAGAAACGCCTTGCCATGCCGTGCTATCCCGTCGCATCGTGCGCTGTCTTCTTTGTTTCTTTTCTGTACCTCTTCCCGACCTACCCACATCATAGATCGACCCCTCGGCACAATCCAGCCCGCCTTAAGAAACGATATAAAAAGATACCCTAGGTACAGCATCACAGGTCCAGCAGATCGTCGTCCTCGTCGTCCCAGTTCTTGCGCCTGTTCACCACGATCTTCTCCTCTTCCTTGTTGTCCGCGACCGCGTTCAGCAGCTCTTTGAGCTGGGCCTCGGTGACTTTCTGGCGCAGCTGGCCGGTGCGCGCGAGCATGATGAGGCGGTTCTCGATGTCGGCGGCGCGCTCCTCCTTGACGAGTCGGATGCGGCCGAGGCGGTCGGCGGCTTCCGGGTGTAGGATTTGGTTGAGGATGGATTGGCGGGCTTCGGCTTCTTGTCTGTAAGAGGGAGGAGGGAGCTTGTTAGTTGGGTGCTAGGGTCTGGGGTCTGGTGAAATCCTGAATGGGGCAGGATGCGCTCACTGCTTCTGCTGCTCTGCTTGGTTTCCTTGGCTGGGCCCCGCGCTGCCTGCGCCGCCGCCGCCGCCGCCTTGCGCCTTGAGCTGCTCGAGGCGCGCTTTGCGGATCTACATACAAGTTGGAGCTTGTTAGCTTGGGTATGGGAAGTAGTAATTCAAGAACATGTATTTCGGCATACCTGTTCTAATTCTGCGTCGGCCATGTTGGTTGTGTTAAAGTGGGAGTTGCGTTGGGCAAGAAAATCGGTATAATGATGGTGGGGTTATGTAAGTCGATGCAAGTCGATGCAAGTCCATGTTAGGCGGCAGCTGGGATGTATTCTTACATATTGTGGTGTTATGGATAAGTTCATAAAAGGACGGCCCCACGTATTGCGTAAATGATAGTAAGTGTTTAACCTAGTGCGTTCTTGTCGCGTGTGTACCCCACATGTATATTAGGCTGGATCCTCCCTCCTAGTAACTTAGGTAGACAGTGAACTTAGACAATACAACCTTCTTATATACCACATATTGTGATAGTTCTATTGATATCCGACAACATTGGAACTGACAGTCTCCCCTAATCCCCTAAGCTCTACATAAGTTCAACCGGTAAATAATTTCCGAGTTCACGTCAGATGCGAACTTGACGTCGTCCTTGTCTGATAAACGACATTCCAAACAACATAATACTACTCCAGCATATATAGATCCCATCATGGCAGGCAACGATTCTCGCGCACTTTGAAGAAACAGATCTTTGATCCCTTCTAGGGTATTGGTGTTTGCTTTCCTCAACCTCTTATAAAGGGGCTTCCAATAGGCAATTTCAAGGAGCAGTACGCCTAAACTGTACAAGTCCATGGCTTTGCTAAACCCATTGCAGATATCTGGGTGGTAATAGTAGTCCATTTGCCCCCCGCCGTTCGGCCGATTATTAATAGATTCCATACCTACTTGGCGGGTTGATTCGAATCCGGAAACAATAGGTGTCTTGAGAGCCGCCAAGTCTTCCAAGTCTTCTCCGGAACAGAGTATGTTATCGCTTCGAAAGGCTCTATGTATCCAGCCTGCTGCATGAAGGCCAGCAAGGCTTGCTGCAAAATATCGAGCAAGGCGAAATTTTTCCTCTAATGGGGGCTCCTGGTCCTCTCGCTTTCCGATCAGATATATGAGAGTCCTTGGAGGTAGAATTATCGATGCGGTGCAGACCAGTCCTAAATGACGACTGTCATGCCTCTGCCGAATTATCCCGATACAGTCCACCAGATTCAGCTGCCGGGAAAAGGGCATCGCCAGCTTAGCACTAAGTAGCTCGGTGCTTTGCCGGAACAACATTGCCTGTCTGTCGTCTAAGTTATCTTTGGCTACCCTCCATTCAATCCACACCTGCTTTGTCTGCTTGTAAGTTGCGACGACTCGAGCTCCTAGGACTTCTTGTAGCTCCATCATCTCATTTTTATAGACAAAGTCAGTGTTATCCAAATAGCTGGCTGCATTCGTTTGGGTGGATAGTTCCATAGCTTTCACAACCGCAGCTCGCGCAATATTCGAGCCCTCCCATCCCGGCAGGCTTTCGATTCTCTGAAGTAAGGATGGTTCGGTCAACGGTGCCAAGGCTGCTGCACGAAACATGGTCTCCAGCATGGAGACCATGCTGGCGGGGACCTTCGTCAGCCGGTCGAGGTGGTCGTTGTAGTCTTTGAGATTGTCGACTAACTCCTCAAACTTTGCCTTATTTCTCACAATAAACTCAAATTTCCGCTTCACTCTCCTTTCAGTCTTATATCCCTTAATCTTTCTCTTTAGTCCATTACCAACTCGGTTCTCGCTTGGCAAGCCGTCATGCTGAATTGAAAGCGACACCTCGTCTAGCGACACCTCATCTGTTCCATGTTGACGGCATAATTCCTCGGCTTCCTGATGAACCTTTTTCAAACGGTTGAGTATCAGGACGATCTGTTTTTGAGTATCCTCATTCAAGAATGAGAAAACGGAATCCGCTCCCTCCGGGGCATGAATATTGTGGCAAGTGCCCCACGCATCAAATCGCTTGCTCTCAAGAAGATACCGCAAGGACAGATCAACAAATCCTTGATCGCCATCTGAGAAAAGATCTTCGAACAACATAAAACTATCCACGGCGCCTTTAAAAGCTGTTGCGAAGGCGGCAAATCCAACAACGGCTGCCGCGATTTCGAGCCCGGACATGACTGAAAGAATTATGGCAGTAGCAAAATAGTTTGAAACTTGAAAAATAAAGGTTAACTATTCTCCGAAGCTGTCGAATATGGAGCTATGAATCAGGTAGGTTCTATATTCTAGCGGGTGTAGTGCTACCATTTTATGGTCTTTGCCGACAGGTTCAGCTACAAGTCTAGGCCTTCCGATAATAGCACCGTAACCATACACTTTTGGAGGTGGATGACGACGTTTACTAAACTGCCTAGGTAGGTACATGTGTAGGATTAGGCCGACATACATGGCTCAATCCTTTTTCTAATCAGCTACTAATACGTAGCTATATGAATACGCAACCATATAGATACGCATGAAAAGCATCGCCCAAATGCTGTGTAAGGATACTGCTAACGTGGTTGATTGGACCTAATCCTATATTAATCGGACGCGGAAGAGTACGGCATCAACCAATCGACACGGGGCACGGCTGTGGCGTGTAAGCAGCCTTTGTACTTTCACCTACGAAGCGATAACTTATTGAAAAGTCTACAATGTTTCTTCCCAAAGTCGAATCTTATTTTCGTTCTGAAGTGAGACATAGGACGCAAAGTGTGTGTAACAATACCTCATCAACAATACTTTATCGTTGCCAATTATGCAAAGACGTCGCCGAGGGCTAGCCGGCGAGGTCCAGGCAAGTTCAGATGTCCCTTCGACCTTACCCACGACGACCCCAGATGCCAGAGAGCAAGAAATATATACTAGGTTTCCTAATTTATTTTCGACGGCAAAAGAGTTCAATGTGCCAATATATCCCATGTGGGGGGATGTAGGAGTCCCAGAGCCACTACATAATCCAGACATACCTGGTCGGCGAAGCTATGCTACGGGAGCAGGCTTTTCTGCCCGAGTAATCAGACATCAGATGGTAAAAGGTGTCGGCAATGCCAAGGCTGGCCAGCTGGTCGCTCTCAAGAATTTCCGTATTAATAGCAACGATAATTCCACGCTGCCAACAGTTTACGAAGCCGTAATACGAGAAATCAAAGCTCTAAAGCATCCATTACTTAACGATCATGAGAATATCTGCGATCTATTTTGTATTGCTTGGATACCCGGAGAATTTCCAATAAATCTCATTTTGGAACTTGGAAGCTATGGGACGCTCGAAGATGTACTTGGGGGACTTACGATGGGACCTTCTTGGTTGCAGAAGATGAACATGACAATCGACATTAGCCTAGGTCTTCGCGCGATTCATGATGCAGGAATAATTCACGGCGATATCAAGCCTGCAAATATCATCATTCAAAAACACGAGAATAGGCAGATAGTCGCTAAGTTCATTGATTTCGGTGGTGCTGCAAGTTCCGATACTTCCCGGCCTGGCATGCGAACTGAGATCTGGAGTGCTCCGGAGGTAATCATGGGCGGCAGGAATATTGACTGGAAGAGTGCAGATGTTTACTCTTACGGACTAGTCATTGCTAGTATATGGGCAAGAAGGTTACTGCATCAGACTGTAGGGTCGCAAACCTCTTGCTTTCTCGAACGATACCTTCCGCCAGCCCTAAGCGAATCCCAACGCAGTCAACGAATGCTTATTATGAAAACAGACCCCGATCCAGAAGCCAGCGGGGCGGGTGACTCAATTGGCATGGGTGTTTTGAGTCAGAGCCTGATAAAAGATGAACATTTCATCAACGATCTGCTATGCATGACACTCCTAGTCATCCCTGATAAGAGAAAGTCCATGTCTATAATCACATCAACACATATGCCTAAGCTATGCAAAAAAATAGGCAGAGACACAAACTTGGGATCACCACCAAAGGAGTCGGTAACGACAGTCCTGACACCAACGGCTAAGGGAGAGCCCGAATACTTACCTGAGTTTGTTTTTGAATCGTTAGAAGAGATTCAGTTAGGGACCACCGACCCTCCATGGTATCGTGAATCTGGCCGCGATCACCCACTCATAAAGCTTCTGGTGTGCATATGTGCTCCCAGGGCGGAGCCAGCAAAGAATGCGATGGCCAAAAATATGCATCTATTTACTGATTGGAAAAGTGACGTCACGAATCAGCCCTCAAAACTGCTCGAGATTACCTTGTCTACCCTAGCTGAGCTTGGACAAGGTCCTGATCTTGGTGATAGCCACAAATCTGCGTACACTCTTGCAGAGTTAGAGGTGAACTCAGATTCTTTCATGTCTGAGCACGATCGTTTAAATTACATATACGCATCTGTCCTAGGAGGCTCCACTAACTCTCTCGTGATGGCTCCTTTGCTAGGAGATTCTTACGACGCTCATTTACCAGAAGATAGCATCAAGCTCTTTTGCTTGGTTATAGGTACGCTTTTTAAGCATCAACAGTCCGCAACACTACTTCGTGAGTCAAGGCCCGACTTGCACGAGAGTACAAGACGCATCTTACAAGCACACATACCATTATCACTTAAAGTAGATAGAGAATCCGTATCGCTATATCTCAAAGAAATTCAAACGGCACCACTGCTAGATAAACATGAGGCAGATTTGTTGACGTTGATTGCGTCGCAGAATATTGAGGAAGTCAAACAGTTCTTAGAACGCCAGGATTGCGATGCTACTATTACAGACATGTATGGTGTCGGTGCACTGTATTATCTTAGCTACCTTTCTGATGAAGAGGCAACTAGTCTTGCAAAAGCATGTCACGATAAAGGTGCCAGTTTGACTCAAGAGACTACCAAATTCCCTTATTATTTCAAAATCGATCCGGACGAGGAACTGGAGTCTACACCGCTACGAATAGCGATACGGAAAAGGATGCCTAGATATTCTGTACGCCTCCTTGAACTACACATTGAAACAAGCACGCCCGTACCAAACGATGGGCTTATACTCTTAGAGAGCGTTATGTACGACTCCCACAACATATTGCAAGTTATGCTAGAACGGTTATCCAACAACCCTCATATATTTCCACAGATAAGCAAGATGGGTTCTCTCAGTCACTTTGCCCTAAAATTTACTCGTGAATTAAGACTGGATCTGGATACCCCAATTTCGGGTGAGTACCTAGACATGCGCATAAATAACGGGCGAAATTTCCAATATAATCGCAGATCAGTTCTCCGTTTAATGCTAGACCTATCCAAGGAGCTACCAGAGTGGCCCGACCATATCTCACAACTGGTCATGGCAAGTGTAGTACGGCGAGACCACATCGCTTTGCAAGCCATCTTAGAGTGCTATAAAGACTCCGAACCTGCACCTTCATACGAAGAGCTTTCCACAAGGCTACTTCACCATTTCCTCGCGTCCATTTCATTGAGTCAGCATAGATGTTTCGATCAATTCCTCAAAGTCTTCCCTGAGTTAGCAAAATTAAAAACAACCGAGGGCCGTTCGATGCTTTTCCATACCATAAAAAATGATGATCCATATTTTACTAAAGAGATTTTACAGCTTGGAGCCTGCTATAACAACCACGGACCGCTCTCTCTAGATTCATATTTTACCAAGGGTGATGAGGGAGCGGAATATTGCCCTCCCCTTGATGCCGAGCAATTCAGATCTTGGAGTAGCGGCCTGGATTGTCCCTTATTTTTTGCTTTGCTCCTCGGTCGTATTGGATCAGCTACCCTTATCTACGACTCTCTGACTGACTGTCAACAACAACTGGTCCTTCCGGAGTTGGCTTCTGGTAACATTGTAGGTGCCTGGGTCGACAGACATAACCTAGGAATCTTGAATTCTATCGATTGGATGATTGAAAGGGGTAAATTAAGCTTCTTGGGGTTTTACGGGGCACCAACTTGGATGCCCCTAATTGCCCGTAGTCAATCAGGAGTTCCCGAGCATGTCGATTTGGATGTACAAATGGCAAGGAAATTATTTGAAGCCTTCCCAGATCGGCTGTCTTACGTTGACTACTCTGGGAAGATGGCTATACATTGGGTAGCGCGTCATGGGCATGTCGGGATGCTTGAGTTACTACTTGCCATGGGCGTAGGTATCAATACGGAGGCTAGGGATGATAATAGGACAGGTTTAACAGCATTGGATCTTGCGAAGAGTGCGCTATCGGACGGCCCAGACATAGAGATTAAGACGGCAGGAAAAGCCGTAATTTCTCGATGGAGGCGACGACTACAAGAAACGATCAGCCTCCTTGAGTCCCATGGCGCGGAACTTGGGAGATTCTCTACGGATGTAGACCTTGAAGATTCGAACTCTACTACTTCCCATGATGGAGTGGATCAATTCGATATGGATGAATACGATTTACAAGACCTTAATGGAGGCTACCCTTTAAGGCTCGGACTAGGCCACGCAAGCCCAACTATAGAAGAGCAGGAGAAGGCTAAGAATTGGATGAAAGTAAAAAGTATAGATGGTCAAGTTAAGAAATTAAGTAGGAGGTTAGTCAACGCGTGGCTTAAGGACAATTTAAATCAACCAGAGAGTGGGTTGTTCGAGAAACCGCCTGAGCAGTACAGCGACTTTCTTGAAAGAGCAGTCGCCTCCAGAAAGAAAGAATGGGCTATAAACTGCCAGGACCTTTTGCCGCCCGACCTTGGCCTTGACCCAAGAGTGAGAGAATGGCATGAATATGGGGCCATGATAACTAAGGCAATTAATGACTCGGTTGAGCTGATACCGCGCTTCCACCGGCTAATTGTTGAAATGGAGTCACCTTCGACAATTTCGGATCCCAACATCTGGGATCTGCTAGGACACCTGAACGAGACCCGTCGAGTTTGGAATCCGGAACCACAGAGCAGTCAAGTTTTGACCAAGCGAATCGATATAGTCTCTAAAATCCCTAGGAAGTTAGCCACCGAATACGCCTTCCAGGAAGCAGAGAAACAACTGTCAGACTTGCAGGTGCCTAAAGATCCGGGAGATGGCTTTGTATTGGTTGTATGGAGAATACTCGATTATAGGACAGACCTGACACCTAAAGAAGTGGGCATCATACAGAAGCATATTGGGAGTTGTTTGGTTTTTACCATCTCGCGGACTATGGTTGGTCAGCGCCCCGTCGTCGCAAAGCGCTTTATTCCTTTTACCTGACACCTGGACAACATTGCATGGCGCATTGGGTAAACGATGTTAGGTATTATCGAAGAGTGTGCTTTATGTTTGTTAAAGGATGAGGGTAATTGTAGAGAATAAACGAGGAAGAAGGTTGAAAGGCATTTAACCCTTTTATATTTATTTTTTTCATGAAATTATCTTTTTAAAGGAATATTACGCTTGAATTTTTTTAGTTATATAAAAAGCTAATAAAAAATTGGAGTTTAATATGAAATCAAGAAATCAAGTGATGATGCAACGGGAGGCCAGGCATTTATACTATTTTCAGCTCAACACTTGGACCCATAGGTCAGGCCTCTACACCATTCGCATTGGACCCTTGGGCCCTTGAGACATTAGGACTAAGGTGCTGGTGTTACGAACATGTATGGTGTTGGTGCACTACATCATCTTAGCTACCTCTTTACTGAAGAGGCAGCTAGTCTTGAAACAATATGCTGCGAGCAAGGTGATAGTTTAACTCCAAAAAACAATCTGGTTCGGTGGTATTTTCAATATCCGTTACGGCGGCAAACCTCAATCCACATCACCAGGAATAGCGAGAAGAAATATGCCTAGATACCTCCTATACATATTAAAACAGGCATACCCGTATCAGACGATTCTGAAAACGCTCGGAATTAACATGACCAATATTCTACCCCCAGAATGTTTTTAGCTTCATTTTATTACAGCCGTCTTTGGTGAAATTACCAAAGAGTGTACATCACCTCCTTTACCTAGCTTTTACAATGGGAGCTTAGTGTAAAATCGACATCCGTGCCTTAGACCAACAGCATTTCGCACGAAATCTAAAAAAGCATGGTCTGGATTTACTAAGATAACCAGGACGAGGTGTAGGTAATCGTATATCCGGCCCCTGACGTACATATAATAGAGCCGACGATTACCTATATACCCTTAAATTTTAATATTTCTTCCTACCGTCTATTATCCCGCCATCCCACGGGATCACACTTCGGCCCAGTGGCGGAACTAGAGGTGACGTGTAGAAAGCTCGGCAGAGATGAAGTGAGATAGACCAGGGAAGGGGAGTGCCGCCGCGGTATAAAAACGATTACTCGTTAACGGGCTTATACTTGAGAAGATATGTAGCAGTAAGCTATTAGTTATTGAAACTATCTTATATCTGAGCAGTGTAGTACATCGACATAACATCCTACAATTACAAGGGAAGTTATGGCAAGAGCTAGTACCACGAATCGACATCTCTCCTCGAAGTACAATTTCAGTCCACATCCTCGTCATCTTCATCTCTCCGCGGTTCGAAATTCAACTGTCGAGCATTAGCAACCAACCAACCAACCAAGCATATACTCTCCGAGTAAACTGTAAACTTACCGAATTCCCATTATACAACTGCGCATCCCTACGCCTGCTCTCATCACTATCAAACCCCCTGATCCGCGAGGCGGTCCTACCCGCAGCTAGATTCTGCAGCGGGACTTCCTCAGACGCCGCAGCCCCGCGACTGCTTAGAAGGCCGGCGAGTCCGCCTAGCATTCCAACCACGAATCCGTATCCAGAACCGAAGAAGCCTAGGATATACGCTAGGCTGCGCCAGACGAGGCTGTCGGAGGCGCGCGCGAACGCGGAGGAGTACTTGGCGTGGACTAGGACGAGAGTGGCAGAAGGGGCTAGGCCGAGGGATAGTAGCGACTCTGTTTCCTCGGCGGGCTGGACGGCCTTGTTGGGAAGCGGCGTCAGGACGATTCGGAAGGTGTACGGCGCGTCGCCGTCAGTCCGGTCTTCGTCAATCCACTTGCGCACTTCGTTACTAAGGGTAGCGTCGCTCTTGAAGCGCGATCGGATTGTCGAGCCGTCGAAAAGTCGAACTTGTAAGTTGCAGTGGTCTCCTCTCGAGGCGCTGGCTTGTCTTCGGGCAAGGGGAATAGGCGGGGTCTGGCTGCTAGAGGCTTCGGTATCGTTTGTCGCGTTTAGCAGTAGCCTTGCCTGTCTTTCCTTGGCCTCGCGCTCCCTGCGCTCCCGTTTGTCATCTTCGATGCGCTTTAGAATGCGTTTTCTGTCTTCAGCTGCTCGGATCTTTTGCTGCCTGACTTCTTCTGCGTAAGACCGATCAGGTGTGTTAGCGGTAGAGGATTGGCCCTCGTTACTCTCGCTAGCTCTGCGGCGCTCGTTTGCCTGAGCTTCTCGTTCTGCCTTGGCCTTGGCTTCCTTAGCTTTAGCTTCCTTAGCCTCCTTCGCTTTCCTCTCGGCTTCTAGGCGCTTCGCTTCTTGTGAACTCTGCCCCTCCCGAGAAGGTTCTGCTGGTGCAGGAGAGGGCCTGGCTGGGATTTCATAGTCATCATAAAGGTCGTCTAATACGTTACTTCTGGTGGATGCTGGGGCTTGAGCGGCCGGAGCTGGCTGACTTGACGCTTGCCTTGCAGGGGCAGCCGCTGTTTGTTGGGCTGGAGTTGCTGACGCAGTGCTGAGAATCGCCTCAATCCTGCGAACAAGATCCTCCTTCGCCGTGCCACCTTGAATATACTCTTTTAGGGTCCCGTTTCTGAGGTGTTTGTAAGTGGCAATACTCAAAAGACTAGTACGAGGGCTGGGACGAGACAGACTGAATGATGACTACTGTGGGCTTCTTCGGTATAGGAAATAGTGCTTCTAGAAATCCTGCCTCTTCAGACCCCGCCTGTAGTCGCAAGGCCACAGCTTGATTTTTGAGTGGTGATTTTAGCTGTACGAAGTCAGTTAATAAACCGTCAATGTACGCGCCCAGTTACTCACGGAATCATTTTCGAGAAGCTCGTTCTCCCAAAGCTGACTCTCGTCTCCACTGTCTAGACTTGTGTCAGTTTAACTAATACCGTGCACCATTTCGGCATAGGAAGCTTACCGGTGACAAATGCGAGCACCATCTTAGACTGTTGGATGGCGAGTGAGATGCCATCTTGCAGGCTGCCTTGGAAGAATACACTTTCCGACATCTTGACTATTGAAAGTTCGAGGTCGTAAAGAGAGAAGCGTGGCGAATGCTTTGGTGGATTGGTAGGCACAGCGGCCAAGCGTAGTACCAGGTGAGATTTGATATAACAGGTATGTAACTATTCAATATTCAATTAATAAATTGCGTGTTTAGTCTGAATGATTCATTCTTGGACCATCAATAAATCCGAATGGTCCCTTGTGCTGTTTATCTAAGTTGAAAATGTCTTGTGAATATATCTTGTGAATATAAAGGTTGAGTCGTCGTAAGGTTGTTAGTTATCAAGTGCCACATGTGAGTGGAAGCTGTGGAAGCTGTGGAAGCTTGTTCAACATGTCGCAAGTACTATGTATTGTACAAAGTACTTCGAGGGACATACGGAATACACTTTGCCTAAAACCACCTAGCTGCCTGCGGGTCCTTGCTCAAGCTTCGGGCTGCCGACTCCGCTGAGCTCAATTGATTGGATCAAATTGTAATCCGTACATGGAATTTCGTCAATGGCCAATGAGAGAGCTTCATCTTTTTTGAAGAAAACGAACGTCATCGTTGAAGGCATCGATAATGTAATGAAGCGAAAAGCGAAATAAATAATTAGCATTAGCCAGCATCGAAGATATAGATATACCAATCATTCCCGTAATGAAGTCTCAAGGGTGGTTAACACCCCAAATCCTCGCCCGGCGAGTCGAGAAAGCCCTCGAAGCCCAAGCCCGCGCCTCCAAACCCCAAAGCTACAGCACGCAAACCTCACCACGCAGCAGCATCCTCCGAACTTCCCGCGCCCCCAGTAGCCGCACACGACATCCCTTCCTCAGCCGACCCTTCACACACACCCCCCGGCCCCAGCACCAACCCGCCGAGAACCCAAACTTCACCTCCATCCTCGACAACCCGCCCGAGCTAGTGCGCACGGGACGCCGCCACGGGCCAGGCCTCATCGTCCTCGCCGTCATCCCCGTAACCGCGTTCCTGCTCGGGACGTGGCAGGTGCAGCGCCTGGGCTGGAAGACCGAGCTAATCGCCAAGTTCGAGGACCGCATCGTGCGCGAGCCGCTGCCGCTCCCGCCGCGCGTCGACCCGGACGCGATCCACGACTTCGATTTCCGCCGCGTCACGGCGACGGGGCGCTACCGCCACGACCGCGAGATGCTGGTCGGTCCGCGCATGCGCGACGGCGAGCAGGGGTACATGGTTGTGACGCCGCTGGAGCGCGGGGGCGACGAGGGCGCGACGGTGCTGGTGAACCGCGGCTGGATATCCAAGAAGTTCCGCGATCGGCGGAGCAGGCCCGAGTCTCTGTACGCCGGCGAGGTTACCGTAGAGGGTCTACTGCGGGAGCCGTGGAAGAAGAATATGTTTACGCCGGATAATAGGCCTGATATAAATGAGTTTTATTTCCCTGACGTGAAGCAGATGGCTGCTCTAACGGGAAGCCAGGCTGTGTGGATTGAGCAGACTATGGGTACGTTTGAACAATATCAACATTCATGAACGCAGTGGATGGATTCTCCTGGCTATTAAGAATGCTTCCTTAGCTAATGTTTTTATTCTTGCAGAGCCGGGTTTACTCCAGACTCTGGACATGGAATCTAAGGGTATTCCTATTGGCAGACCTGCTGAGGTCAACCTAAGGAATAACCACGCTCAGTACATCTTCACGTGGTATGATTCCTTCATTGTTCCGAACCCCCTCTTCTCGCGCTCGAACTAATAAACATACCCTAGGTATGGACTCGCGGTAGCGACGTCGATAATGTTCTACATGGTGGTGAAGAAGCCTCCCACTGATATCTCACGCCGAGTGAGACTGAACAAGGAATGGTCGTAGACCCTCGTTTCGAGCGAATGCACATTACATTTGTTTAACAGAACCCTGGATAGGGGGTGGGGCTCAAGTAACTTCCTCCTCCTCATCGACAGCCCCTTGTCGGACCTGTCGTTTTCGAGGAGCTTTCGTCGGCGCAGGGACTGACATTCGCATCTCTTGTAAGAGTTCCCTAGGTAGATACCGTTGTGCTAAGGAGAAGGGTGTAGTGGAGGTACTGGTCTGCCGTTGTCTACAAAGAAAGGTTAGTAAATTTGTACCACCAGGAATAAAGATATACCCTAGAATTGAGCGTAGAACAACGTACCTTCGCATGAGCATCATCATGTCGCTCTCATCGATTGTCTTGCGACCTGCGTGTCTTGCGTAGGCCGATAAATCGTCCCCCAGCTGCTCAAAATACCAGTCCGTCGCTTGCATAATGGCATCTACCGTATCTGAACTCAACTTTGCCTTGCTGACCCCTGCCGTCTTGGCGAGTGTTGTTGCCAGCCGCTTTACTACACCCACGGGGAGAGAAGGGTATTCAATACCATGTCGCGAGATTTTCTTGCCAGGTTTCCTTCTTCCGGCGCTTCTTTGCGCTCGATGATCAGCAACTTGGGAGATGATCGTGTCCTGTAACGCCTCAGTGTTATCAGTGTTATCAACATCATCGACATCGTCTAGTCCAGGTGGATCCATCAAGTCTCCTGGGCCATCGTCATCGTCATCGTAGTGGTCGAAGCCAGGTACGTCACTGGTCTCAACGTCCTCGGCCATCGTAGGGTCTCGAGTAGGGGATTCCACTGGGGCCATGACGAAGGTACTCTCGTTCCCGAGATCGGGAATCTCAATTGGACCAAAATCGTCCTGGCCTCCCATAGTCTGACGTCTTGTCTCCTCATCCATGCTAGAATATGTTAGCACTTTTCAACTCATACACATAGGTTACCATAGCAATACCGTTCGAATATAGCCTCTTCGTCTAAGCCAATCCCGCCGGTATCATCGTCTAACGCTGGCGGGGGAAAGAAACCCGAGTCGATACCAACGTCATTATCATCATCGTCCCCTATTTCCGGCCCGACAAAGTCACTCATCCTCACGCTGCCCAAGCTGCTCCTATCCAAGCGACCCAATGGTGCTTCAGTCCATGCTCGACGAGGCAGCTCGATCGACTGCATTGTGTAGTTCTCATCGTCCAGTATGCTAGACCGGGGAGGCTTCAACTCGCTATCGTCGTCATCGTCGCGATCTAAGGGTAACGAAAAACGGGGACGCTCAATAGGAAAGTCGTCGTCATCGTCACCCTCCTCGAGGAGAGTCTGCAACGTCGACTCATTGGCGCGAAGGGGGGGCGACGACGACGACGAAGAGACGACCGTTGACGTAGGTGCGAGAACCCGACTAAGGTTCCGCAGAAGATCTCGCGGCGTTTCGCGCTCGCGCTCGCGTGCAAGACTGCGCCGCCGTCCTACTCGTCCCGGTGTGAACAGAGCTGCACGTCGCTGGTCTATAGCACGGATGGCGGCGCGGGCATGGGGTGTGTTAGGGTTTCGGCGGCCCGAAGCGGATAGACGGAGGGAGGAGGGCTCGGCGCTGATGGCGCGGCGGTTCGGGGTGGTGAGTGCTCGGGGGGTGCTGAGAGCTGTGAGACGGTTTTTATTTGGAGTCGGGTCTGTCATTTTGAATATGCCGATGTCTTTCCTATACCCAAGCCGTATACCTTGTCGGATGCCAATGGTAATCCAGGCCAATTAGTCTCACATAAGAAATCTCGTGACTACTCCCCCAATACTTAGAAGTTGTCTAGTGAAATGACGTGTGCGTGGTTACTACTAGACGCGGTTATGAGCTTAGACGCGTCGTGGTTATTCACCAATACAATTGAATTGTAGCTGCTGTAAAGTTTAAAGAACAGGGTGGGCACGTGGGGTTCCTCGCACTGTATGAGCTACGTGGGGCTTTATGCGCTAGGTGGCGTTAGAGTTCAGAGGGGTTCTAGTGCTATTGGGTTATCCTTGTTGATTTTCATACTTCCCCTTGCCTACCCAAACTGCCCAAACTGCCCCAAACTGCCCTGACCTTGCCGCCAAAACTGTTCAAAGCAGCTTTTCTTAACAGCGCAGTCCCTGAGTCCCTGAGTCTAGCCGAACTAGAATCTTCCGAAACATCTTCGACTCATCTGCCTGGTGTAAGTTCTCAGATCTCACCAGTTCCTTGCTTCTTTGGTTCTCCTAACCCTTTCGGCAAATCCTATCAAGATGACGCCATGCTCTTGCGAATATCGATATCGGTGGAGTCATGGATGCTTACATGAGGTATGTATGTATTTTCTGACTGGTAAATGTGCAGCACGACAAGATACGACAAGATATAACGAGGTTAGAATAAACATTCCGTTTGCTCTGTAGACCGTGTCTTACCAATATCTTGTGCTGAAACCTGCCCGCAGACCCGTCGGTGCTTTGATCACTATGACGCTCTAACCATTAGGAGATCGTGGGGATAGGTTTAACTGTTTGAGCAAACAACCAAGTATCAATAGCTTGCCCATTTTCAGCCATCCAAGCGTCCAAGCATCCAAGCTAGGGATACGGAGTGCCGATTTGAGACCGTTTTCAGAATCATCTTGAACCAAACCCCTAAAGCTTTGCTTGAGTTAAACTCCATAGAGTCAGCATAAATAGGGTAGCTTGAAGACCATGACCCTCTCAAGTCTGTCGACTCGCCACAGGCCCTCACTAGTCTGACGAATCATCCGGATGCATCCTATAGCTTCTAGTCTGATGCAAGAATGTTCCGGGGTAGAACCCCTGACACCCTCGACAAACGATGAGTTTTCGGATGCTGCTAAGGAGTTGGTGTTGTTACAAGAGACGTGTTACAAGAGACGCTTCAAGTAGTGCCTCGGCTTATCCGTACGGTATCGCGTTGATGTTTCTCGAGCATGAAGACCAACTCTTGGTTGATGTTTAGCTCAGAACATGCGTTTGCATTACATTAGTAGGTAGGTATGTAGTTATCTACCTAACCTATTGTATGCAATTCGATCTGCCCACTTGGTCACTGACCTGCATATACACATGCAAATGCAAAGCGGGTAGTTGAACGGCAGTCAGATAGTTCGTGAAGATCGATCTAAATGAATAACTCTATAAAACAGGAGCTTACATCACTATAAAAGTAAACCGTATATAAATAAATACTCAACCTGACTGTGAATGACGGAGTTATACTGTAATTTTTGGCAGTTTTCTTTTTTTTTTTTTTTTTTTTTTTTTTTTTTTTTTTTTTTAAAGTTATTTATGATAAATTATATTTATTTTTTGAAAATAGAGAATTAGTAAAGAGAAAAAAAAAAAATATAAAGCCCAAAAAAAAAAAAAAAAAAA